TTATATAGCAAATGCAATGCTTGTCAAAATTCGTAAGATGAAGAGCTTATCTGATGATGATGAAGTTGCATATGCTCAAGAAGCTAGTTCGCAGTCATCTGGAGCATATTCACAACCAGCTTGGATGCGTGCATTATATACCACTGTTGATAATTGGTTGAAGATATTGCCAAAAGTAAGATTATTAGAAATTTTTATTGGTTAGATATATTTTTTATTTACTTATTTTATAAAATTTTTTTTTCTAGACTCTATCACCCATGAAACGTACCGCAGAAAGTATCAAGAATCCATTATTCCGATTCTTTGATCGTGAGAATCAAATTGGATGCAACTTATTGAACAAAATCCAACAAGACTTGAGTGATATTAAATTGGTTTGCGAAGGTCAATTAAAACAAACAAATCATTTACGTATGTTGCTTAACTATTTAACAAAAGGTTGGTTTTTAATTATATTTATGTTATTTAATATATATATATTATGTGTGCGATATATAAATAAATAAATATTAACTATTAATTAATAAATCAAATAGGCATAATACCAGATCATTGGTGTAAATATAAAGTACCAAAAACCACTTCATTGAATCATTGGGTAGCAGATTTCAAAAGTCGTTTGCAACAACTTGAAAATATAACTAAAGAAAGCAATTACACAAGTTTGGAAGTTTGGCTTGGTGGACTTTTTATGCCAGAAGCATACATTACAGCTACTAGACAAGCAGTAGCACAAAAACATAGGTGGTCACTTGAAGAATTGAAATTAGAGGTTGATTTAAACACTAGTGGTTCTCCTAATTCATTTGCTAATTTTCTTTTATGGGTTTTAGAGGTAGTTATAATTAAATCTGTATTGGTATTATTTGTTGTTTTGCTTTGTTCATCTTGAATTTTGTTTAATGTCACATAATCTAGAGCTTGGTTAATTGCTCTGGCTAATGTGCTTGCTTTCTTAATCTTGGTCAATTTATTGTTTGCTTCCCTTTTTGTAAATTTTTTGAGCTCATCCTCAACTACCCAACCACTATCATGTATATAAATTATTATAAATCATTAGTTATGTTGAAATATAAATGATTATTATTCTTATTATCATCATTATTATCATTATTATTATCATTATCATTATCATTATCACTATCATTATTATTAAAAATTAATATATGTATATATTTATGAATGTATAATAGAACATACTAATTTGTCGAACCAAAAAATTTTACACAAGTAAAAAAATCTTGGCCCTTGGGTTTTTTATTGATAACATTTTTTGGTAATTCTCTTTCAGCGACAATCTATATATACAACACGTAAAAATTTATATTTCATATATATATCGAGGTTTTTTTAAGGAAATAAATGTTAAAACCTACTACACCAGGCCACCAAGCAAATCCCTTTAATTTTGCGAACACAATCGCTCCTGCTTCAAATGACATTTTTTTCGATTTTTGTTTCAAATGGATCACTTAATTGGGATTGATTATTGATAATTATATAAATTAATATATACAACAGTATATGTATTATTATTTTTTAGGTTATAAAGCTTAATTAATAAAAAATATAATTGAATTTATTTGAAAGAACAAAAAGGAATCATTACACGTATTTATTGTAAAAAAAAAATTAATAATTTTCTCATCAACATAACGCCACTTTTGGGGTGAAATTTTGCTCAACGCCACAATTGTACAATCGTTAATGGTTCATTGTTTTTTAGTCTAGATAAGTATTAGTTTTTGTCATTCGTTAGTCAATTAATTGCCTAGTGTCTTTTCTTTTGCATACACTTGTCCGGGATCTTTTAACTTCGTCCTGCTTTCTTGCAAATAAGATTTTTTTTTTACAATTCTGAGTTGTCTTCTTGCAGCGAGCCATTAAT